GTTTACATCTCTTTGCCAGAACAGAGTCAGATGATCACATTAATTTACTAGTATTTTAGCTGACTTTACCCCTTCAGTGAAGACTCATGCTGAAGAAGGGTCTTGGGAATATTTATTGGGTTAGCAAAACAACTATTTATCTGCCAAGCCTATGCTTTACTAATGCATTTTTTGTTAAAGTTTTTGACCTCATTTTCATAAATCCAATTCCTTTTTGTAGTCATATTTTATTAGTATTTGTGAAAATTAAATTACATGTTACAATATTAAATACAATTGGCAAATGAATGTTTTGAAAATAAATCCAGCAGATTTTTGACAAGCATGCAACTCACTGCTAAAATCAGGAGTAAATAGGTATATTTAAACATTACTATCAGCTGGGTGAGTAGTGTTTCCTGCTTATATTTTAGAGGTAAATTTCCAGGTAATCCAGGAATGGGATTAAGTGGTGGTTGATTAATAATTTGAAAATTATCATTGGTAGAAAATTTTTCATCAATAACACATTTGCATTTTTTAACACATTTACATTTTTAATAAATATATTATTGTAACTGTCCTGATATCCTTTCTAAGATTATGGAGACTAAAATGTATAAATTTAAAAAAGTACACCCCAAATCTCTAATTTAAATCCACTTTTCTACAATAATATGTAATAGGAAATCCCATTAATCTGTGAGCAGTTCTTCAAGGGGCCATCATCTGTCTAATTTACCTAGCAAGTATTTGGTTCATGAAAAAAACTCAACTAAAAGTTGAATGATGATGAAAAAGATGATGATGATATTTGAATAGCATATTGGGTAATATGGTACTAAATTATAAAGAAACTTAAAAAGCTTATTGTTATCAATTCTGTGTTTCACATGCACCCTACACTTTTAACTAAAGCAATGACCACTTTCATTTGCCAGATAAAAAAGGTCTGTTTTAGTCATTTGGCATTTGGGGGTTTGGCATTATTTATGAGATAAGTAAATGCCAAATCCATTTATTTCCTATGTGATCAAATTTCCTAACATTGCTAACAATTCTAGATTAGCTAATTGCAGAGAACACCTACTAATGTCAAAGAGAACAAGAACATACTAATAATCTAATACATAATATCTGTAGTAAAACTAATACACTGTAAATACTTAAGTGGGAGAAAATCTTGCATGCATTTTCTGTTAAAGAACAGAAAACAAGTATTATGTTCTTTTACAAATGAAGAATGTCCTATTTCTGTTTAGGTTTACAGCTGAAGCTACCATTATTTTTAATTTTTTGTTCCTATGCTCTTTAGTTTAAAGCAGCAATTCACTCAATTTATGTGAGTTTTATCACCTGTGTTGCTAGACTGTATATATTCATGGGGGTTAGAAGTTGATTTAATTATTAAACATTTCTTCAAAAATTTTATGGGGTAAGGGTAGCTATAGTTTTAGATTATCTAATTTGGGGCAACTCATATATAACATTAAAACTTTTGTCCATGATCCTTATAGGATTGTTGTGTGGATATTTTTAAGATTGTCAAAATTAGTCATCTATAGCAATTTTTCTAATATTGCAATCATAGGATTTAAAATTAGATCAGTGGTAAAATTTTTATTTATCTACTATATAGCAATAATAATTACCAGTGTTAACAAGTTTACTATATCTTTAATTCAGTTTTTTTCCAGAACACCATGTAAAGTCCTCCAAATAGTAAAATATTTCTATAGCTGCCTCTAAATAATATAATACAGGTTGAGTAGTGGTATCCTATCTGATATTAGGTTATCAAAGAACATTTCACCTTCGGTTCTCTCTCTTGCTCTGGAATATGCCAGTTTCTCTGAGAGGCACATGTGATAAGGAATTGAGACAGGCTTCTAGCTAGCAGCTAGTGAGAAACTGAGTTCCTTAGTCCAACATCCCACAAAGCTGTTTCTTGCCTCTGAGTAAGCTTGGAACCAACCACAGTTATGCTTCAGATAAGATCACAGCCCTGAACAACACCTTGATTGCAACCTCTGTGAAACTTTTAGCCAGATACTCTCAGCTAAACCTTGCTTTGATTCTTATATAGGGATGTTTCAAGTGGCTAAGTTTTGGAGTAATTTGTTTTGCAAGGGAATATAATACAGAACTAAGAGCTTCACTAAACACCCCATCCCATATTCTAGTGTCATGATTTATTCGCTATGATGTCTGTAGCCTTTTCAGTGCCGGTTGGATCCCCGCCGGCTGCGGAGCAACCCACATGGCGTGGCAAACCTCTCCTGCTTCACCTGCTGCTCCCCTTTGCAATGTATTTCAGTCACTGCCTCTCCTGCTTCACCTGCTGCTCCCCTTTGCAGTGTATTTCAGTCACTGCCTATTCTGTTCCACGCTCTTTCTCTGGTGAATTGTCTTACCCTCCCACACCTCTGGCCTGTACCCCGGTTCTTGTATAAATAAATAATTCTTTAAAAAAAAGAACCTGGGTACAGGCCAAAGTTGTGGGGGGTGAGAAGACTCACTAGAGACAGTGTGGGGAACAGAGAGGCAGAATGAATAAAGTACACTGCCTAAGGGAGCGGCGGGCTAGTCAGGAGAGGTCTGCTGTGCCATGTGGGTCACCTTCCTGGAGGGCTAGAGGATTGAACTTGTGCTGCAGTGGCTGCAGAGAGCTTCATAGATTGTGTCTTAACCACATGCACCACCAGGGAGGCCCTATTATAAGGAGTTTTTTTAAATTAAACTGGGACATGTCCTTTTGTCAAAAAAAAAAAAAAAAGGTGGTATTAAGAGTAAAAAAAATATGCAGATATATCTACTAATTTTTTGTGCCTAGTAAATGCTGCCTTAGCTAGACATTTTTGTCATTCAATCTGAATTATAACAATAAACTATTTTTTTGAGAATTTATTATGTTCTCTTTTAACAGAATTACCTTTCTATTTTTAGACCAAAATTATTTACAGTATCATAGAATATTCAGTATTAGAGTAGTTTTTCAAATATGGAAATCAACACTTACGTTTCATAGATGAGTAATCTTAGGTCTAACTATATAAGCATATATAAATGTGTGTGTGTGTTAAAATATTTATTTATTCATGCATACAAGAACCCAGGTACAGGCCAGATGTGCGGGAGGGTGAGAGGATTCACCAGAGACAGAGTGGGAACAGAACAGGCAGACTGACGAAATACACTGCTGAGGGGAGCAGTGGGCACGACAGGAGAGGTTTGCCAAACCATGTGGGATCCTCGCCAGCTGGCTGAGATCAAACCAGCGCTGCAGAGGCGGAGGACAGCTTCACAGCGTGGCGTTCAACCGCCTGCGCCACCACGGGAGGCCCCTATTTATATAGGTTCTATATATGGTATAACCAGGTCTCTAGTGTCTGTCTTTTCTATGCTTATGTTGTACTGCCAGTATTCAAAAGCCAAACATTAATAGTGTCAATTAAGAGGTTAAGAAATACTGCATTTTGGATCTATTATGTAGAAGATGCTTTTAATTTATCTTTGGATAAATACAATGGAAGATTAAGACATAGACATTATTCTAATAGAAAACTCCCTGAATAAAGATATAGTTCTTTAGTAGTTGACTATCTGCAAAACTCTGGAAAACAATTTAATGTCACAGTGTTGCTATGAATGAAATCTTAATGATATAATGTATAAGAGAATGTTTAAAAAAAATTAAGTGCTTCTCCAATGCTAAGGGATATGTCTTATTTCATCAATTATCTCTTTTCAAAAGACAGGCTTTGTTTTGGCCTGAAATAAATTAATTTCATTTATCTCTCTCTTCATTTTGCAAGCAAGGACCATCTTTCTTGCCAGTATTATGTCAGAGCTTGAACTATTCTGAAATATCTCTCTGGTTATATGTGGTTGTGGAGTTATTACACAAATAAATGCCAGGAGGTCAGGGGTTTGCTTCCCCATCACCATGCACCACTGGCGGTATTACTCTCATTTCTTGTTTAAATAAATGGCCCAAACCCCCGGGCCCAAATTAAATCAAAGTAATTTTAGAGTTCAAGGACAAAATTAAGTCACTCTGGGAAAGTGGGACAAAGGAAATCAGGCACACCAGATGGAAAGTTCTTACTGGCCAGTATCTTTAAAATGTCAGTACTGTATAAAACGGCTCTGTAAGCCATCAATCAACCATGGCTCTAGAAAACCGGGAGGATGACTTAAAAATTAGTCCTTTTTCACTAAGCCTTAGAAAATTATTTTCAAAGTGGATTAAATGTGAGGACATTTATGCAGGTATACTTAAGGAACTAAAAAAGAAGGCTGGGGCTTGGAGGAGGGGTTTCTAGCATGGTCTTAGCAGTTATTAGGAAGTAACGCCTCATTTTCTTATATAGCAGCATTTGAAGTGACCTTGAACAAAATGCCCTACATTTATTTTACTCTTGTGTTGAAATTTGATCTATTTACTTAAACCAAACAGGCAAAATCTGAAAAATGGCTTTCTTATGTCTTTGTTTTTGTTCTTCGACATAAGATTAGTAATTAGAGATTAAAACTTGATTTTACTCTCATGATTATATCAGTTCATCATCTATGACAGGATCCATTCTTTTCAAAATAAAAATGTAATGCAGGGCCTCCCCGGTGGCCACAGCTGTTGAGCGCTGGGCTGCGAAGCTGCCTGCAGCCTCTCCAGCACCGGTTCAATCCCCGCCAACCGGCGAGGGTCCCACATGGCGAGCAGACCTCTTCTGGCGCCCGCTGCTCCCCTCAGCAGTGTACTTTGTCACTCTGTCTGTTCTACTCTCCGCTCTGGCTCTGGTGAATTCTCTCACCCTCCCACACTTCTGACTGTACCCAGTGCTTGTATAAATAAATAAATAAATCTTAAAAAAAAAAAAAAAAGTAATGCGAAGTCCCTGGTTTTCAAAAAAAGAAAATATCTCAAAGAAAACAGTTCCAGCAACCTTAGTATTATAAGAAAGTGGTGAAAAAATGTGTATAATAAACAGCTTTCCTTAGAGTGGAGACATGTTCTTAAGTTTACACCTACTATTTTTTTTTAATGAATTGATTTTCTTATGTTGTTGTTAAATTTTGTACAGTACTTGATTTTTCTCATCACATGTAGACCCTGTAGTTCTACCACCACAACACCTGTGATCTACCTTCCCTGTCCCTTATGCTCGTCTCTCCCTCTTCTCTCTTTCTTTGTTGAATGCTTCAGATCTATGGTCAGCCTGAAACACAATTTTAAAAAAAAATAGTTAGCCATGTAACTCTTCTAACCTAACTGAACTCAGACTAGGTATCACATGTGTGTTATAATGTTTAGATCTCAGCATTTATGTTGCATTCTCTATATACAGGTACTTGTACTAAGCCACAGTCACATATTTTAAAAACAGTTCTGTGAGGCAAGTACTCTTATTATCTCTATAAGGAAATAAATGTGAAGCCACAAAGAGATGTTTAATATTGTTGAAGCATGAAAACTATTTATTGTCTGGTAGTTCAAAGCACATACTATGGGGTAATCTAGCTGGTTTCAAATACTGGTTCTATTACTTCCTCACTGTGAAACCTTAAATAAATGATCTGTCCAGACATTTGAGTTTCTCCATGTATGCAATGAAAACTGTAAAAGGGCAATTCTGAGGATTAGATGAGACAGAATTTTAAAACTGCCTGGAATAGAACCTAGCACAATAGTACAAACTCATTAAATGCCTAGAAATTGATTGGCTAAGTAACTGAGCAAGTTAATTATAAGAAGATTAAGAAATGACATATATTTTGTGCTTTCAAATATCATATAATATAGGAATAATAGTTGATATGGAATATATAATTCCATTTGTAATGTATTGTGCAATACTATTTTGCAAATAAGTTTGTAACATTTTATGAAATGGGGCTAATCAGGAAAGATTTCCATCAGGAGATATATGAGATCATTTTTATAGAGAGGGTTGAAGGATTACTTTATATATAAAACATGCTCTCACAAACTTAGAAATTATAAAACATTATGAGGACTAAAATAAAAATTAACCCATAAGTTGGCAACCCAGATTATTTGAAAAATCTATGAATGGCCTCCCTCACGGCCTAGGGGTTAAATCACAGTGCTATCACCACTATGGCCTGAGTTCCATCACAAACAGGGAGCTAACTCACACATGGCACAGCAGACCTCTCCTGCCTCACCCACTGCTCCCCTCAGCAGTGTATTTCAGTAGACCTGCCTGTTCTGCTCCCCACTGTGCCTGGTAAAATCTCTCACTGCCCACAGCTCTAGCCTACACCCCAGTTTTTCTATGCCAAAAAAAAAATAAATCTAATATGTTGGTATATTTTCTTAAGGGCTTTGTAAGTGTGTATAACTATATTTAAAAGTATAATTTGCTCATTTCTCATTCAGATATTTGTTACCATTTTCCCCATTTTTCATTATTTTCTAAAAATGTTGTCAGTTTATTGTGGGCATTTTGAGTCACTAAAGAAAAGAGGAAGGCATTCCTTGGTTTTGGGGTGGGCAATGAGGATAGGCGGCAAGGATTAAAAAAATAATAAGTTGTATTTAATCAAGAATGGGTAATTTATTTGGTTTAAAAACAGCAGAAAATGAAATTCCACATCCATTTATTTATTGAGACAACATTGATTTACAGTATCATACATGATTTAGAGCTATAGGATCACACCCTTCAGGAATGGGACACCTCACCATACCCACTGCATTTGAAGGAGGGAGTTACCCATAGCCCCACAGTCCAAGCACAGTGACACTCTTAGGTGCAATGGAAAGAGTGGAGAGTGGATGAGCAGCCTCAGCCATGCCTCATTAGCACTCGTCAACAACATCAAATCTACTACTTGACAGTCATTCGCCTTGTCTTGTTTCTTCATGTCCGAAAAGATATATCTGAAAGCTGGGTCAAAAATCAACCATGTACCATTCTAAGTCAAATCTACACCACAGCTGAAACATGGATAAGAGAGGCAGAGTCTTTGTTAGCTGCTACAAACCTGGAAACATTGTACAAAGGAAGTGTGTTTTCTGAAGTGGATTCTGATAGCCATTAGTTTTTTTGGTTGCTGGCAAATAGTTTTACTTTCTTTTCACTGAAGTTGGCAATAGAGTAAATTGATCCATGGGTTAGATGTGTGGCTCAGTTCTTGTTAATTGTGTTGTCAGTATTGTTTGGACATGGTGACTCTAAAAAGGAAAACAGAGCTAAAGCTTGGGCAGTCAATTCTGTGGAAGTAAATGTTGGGAGAGAGAAAAGACTTGTGCTTCTGGTTAACATTCAAGAGTAGTGAGTGATTTACCCACCTGCTCAGAGATAAAAATTGTACACAGAATATGAAATATCAGCACTCATGACAATAGGTATCAGGTAATGAAAAGAAGGGATCACTGAGATAGGAAACAAAAATGGTGGCTGGTAAGATTGCTCAACTCATTTCCTGGAGAAGGATTCTGGTCGCTGTGCATGGAGAGGGGAGCCAGACAGAGCCTTCTCCTGGTCTTGGGGAGCTGGGAGCTTGGGAAAGCCAAGGTTTCAAGAATTTGAAATAAATCCTTTTTATTGAGTTACTTCAATTTGAGATTCAGTTACTTTAAGGAAAAGGAGTCCCAAAAATACATTCTTGTATTTTCCTTTCCTATCTGTTTCCCTTATTCTTGAGTTCTTTTTCAAGTCAGTCATACCTCAGGCATCGCTGAAGTCACGTGCAAGGATCTGACAAGTGCCCTTTACGATGTAGCCTCAAGTATGTGAGTGGTAAAAATCACAGCCTTTAGAGTGATTTTCAAATTAAATTGTTAAAATGTGTTTTTTTTTTTTTTTTTTTTTTTTATCTTAGGAGTTTCTGAGAAATCCATTCTTTTGCAGTAAGGGTTACAGCTATCTTCTATTAGGGCTGGAAATTGACTTTCTTGCCACTGACACTTGACAGGATGTTTATTTTCCAGTTATAACACTCGCCAATTGTCCAACAATTTCTCGTCTCACAGAAATAACGAAGGTCAGCTGTGATGAACTACACCCTCTGTAGCCTCTCTGACAATCTCTTTATATCCATATTTGATATTGGTAATTCCATCATTTCCCATGAAAGAAAAGAAAAGAAAATTAGTGCAAAATGCTGTCGCTGAGGGCGGGGCAGCAGGAAGATATAAGTGTTTGCATGTTTTTCAACCTGACTATTAAACCATCACCCAACGAGGGAGGATGGAAAGTCAGCAGGGATGCACTTTTTTTCAAAAAAGCTCTGCAGCTTCAAGATAAAATGTAACCTTGCAGTTGCTAAGGTAACGTTTTTTTTTTTCCCCCTCCTTAGGAATAGCAGAACAAATTAGGTGAAGAAAACTTCTGTAAATTGTCAATACGCGGATGCCCTTAGGCTGCAATAGCTAAGCGTTTCCTTGGAATCCTAGGTAACCAAAATGTGGGGAAGTCAACTAAATGATGTGTTTGCTGTTGATCTGATTTGTTTCTTTTGAGCAATTTAATACAAAAATCATAGTCAACCCTTCTTTTCTAGTTCTTACAGTCTTTTGTCCCCTTGTTAATTTTATGCAACTTCATGCCCAAAAATGTTTTTAAGAATGAGACTCATGATAGAAAATATTTAGATAATAATAAAATTGATGAGGTTAATTTTTTGGCAGTGGTCTAGAGTCAGCACAAATCTACAATTATGTATTGATATTCTTCTCTTGTTGCTATTCCCTGGGGCTTTCTTGTGGTGTTGTCATCATTAATCTCTCATCACTCTGCTGACAGAGTTATTTATAAAAATATTTGAAATTAGTGTCTAATGGTTCATACATGATAATCTACTCATTGTGTTTGCTGTCACAGTATCCCAGTTTATTTTGAAATTAAAATACATTAATAATATCTATGATATTTCATGGTTTCTAAGATACATGCATTTCATATTTTAATATCGCAGACATTTGTACCCATCTTCCAGTTGATGGTGCTTTATGATTGCCATTGGCTACCTCTTCACTTTTAAAGTATCCAGCAATATATACTGTAAACAATGATGTAAAAAATCAGATAAAATATAGTATCATAACTTATTGGTTTGAAATGAGTTTTGGTAAAACTTTCCCCATAAACTATTTTCAACTTGGGTTACCATTCAGTACATTACCACAGAACATTATGAATTTCTAGACTTGCCTTAAGTTAAACTAGTCTTGCTGTCAATATTTGCTGATATATATTTTACCTGCAAGAGTTCTGCGGAATTATTCAGATATCACAGGATCATCCCTCACTATCTTCCTCTGCATACAATGCTCAAAAACACCAGTTTAAAAAATGGCTTTAGGGCCTCCCCGGTGGCGCAGCGGTTGAGTGCTGGGTTGCAAAGCTGCCCGCGGCCTCTGCAGCGCCGGTTCGATGCCCGGCTGCTCCCCGGCCACTGGAGGAGGGTCCCACATGGCGCGCCGAACCTCTACTGCCGCCTGCTGCTCCCCTCAGCAGTGTACTTCGGTCCTTCTGCCTGCTCTGCTCCCTGCTCTGGCTCTGGTGAATTCTCTCACCCACCCGCGCTTCTGACTGTACCCAGTGCGTGTAAAAACAAAAACAAAAAAAAACCAACCAAACAAACAAATAAATAAAAACATGCCTCTATTTAAAAAAAAAAAAAATTCTTTCCTTAAAAAAAAAAAAAAGAAAAAATGGCTTTACTCTGAATATACTAAAGAGAAAAAAACATGTTTGCCTGTAACCTCTACTTCACAATACTACTTGAGTTCCATGCCTGGGGAATCTGTGGAGGAGTAACACACTTTCACAGGTTATCTACCCTGGGATAGAAGCTCTAGCTTATAGTGGGCTCTGGAATGGTTGCCTCCAAATAAAGTCACTCACCAGTTATGCCCCTGTAAAGTCAGTTAATTTTTCTCAAATATGTATTCTCATCTGAAAATACAGAATATCATTTCCCTCATTTGAAGACAATGCCAAAGGAAATACTATACTACCCCATAACTGGTACTCAATAAATAATCTTTTCCTTTTCCAGCTTTTTCCCTATATCTTCTAATCAACTGAATGTTCCTTTTGTACCTGTTAATGAAGAATACAAATTTTCATATGTCATAATTTGAAAATTATTACTATTCTTAATATCATACATAATAATAACTAGAAATTGTTAGTCTGTTCTAAGTTGGGAGAGTTGAACTAAAGCATTTGATTCATGAAGCCAA